TTTTGATTCGCTATGAAAGTTTGACAGATAAAATGAGGAATTAGTGGATTTTCCTATGTTTCGAGGGGTGAATCGATTAGCTTGAGACCGAAGATAGTACTAGAGCTGAACCAAAAAGTTGAACTCGTTTCTTCGGGACCTTCTGGTCTTAGAGTTACCTCAATGGTGAAACAGTGGTAGCAACAATCAATACGAAACTAACGATTTTAAATTGGCTCACCACTTTAGTAGCCTATTGGTCCCAAGCAAACGAATAAAGTACCCTATTCTAGTCGAAATTCTAGTACTACGCAATGTTTGTTTTGATTCGCTGAAAGTTTGACACATAAAATGAGGGGTTATTGGTTTTTCCTATGTTTCGAGGGGTGAATCGATTAGCTTGGGACCGAAGAGCGTACCAGAGCTGAGCCAAAAAGTCGACCACGTAATTTCGGGACCTTCTAGTCTTAGAGTTACCTCTATGGTGGTAGTGAAAATCCGAGGAAAATACATAACAAACTGCTGACAAACTCAACTACTTTACACATGTGGCGATAGACCTCCGTTAGCGTGCGTCCGTTAAACGTCACTAATCTCTATTGACGTCGATGACCGGCAGACGTCCTCTTAACATAAATGTCAAAATTGTTGTGAGCAAAACATTGTTTGTTTAAAACCGATCAAAACATGGGCCGCAAGAGCTAGTTTTATTGATGCGCAAATAAACCAAGCGAAATTCTTTTCACAATTTTCCTATGGACGCTGAATTGCCCGAACTATAGGAGACTTTCTTCTCACGTGGAGTCCAAGCGCTTGTAACGAAAAAGTTATGATGCGACTGTGGCAGATAGAGTTGGTATAGAATAATAATCATGTACAAAGACGAAGCAGTGAAGCTTCGGTTTGTTCCCACATTGCATGTATGTGTGCGTTTCATTGATTATCAAATCAACGCTACACCCTGACTCAACTATAGAGATTAGTGACGTTTAACGCACGCACACTAGCGGAAGCAACTCCGTGTAAAGTTGTTTATTATTTTCCTCTGGCTAACTTAAAAAATGTATGAAAGTAGACCTGTCAAAATGAGTTTGACATCGATTTGTTATGTATTTTCCTCGGATATCCACTAGCACGCTCTCACATATCGCACCAATACAACCCAACGTGAAAATCTCAATGCTCAAATCGTTCGTGACATTATTGTACGACTACACGCTGACACAAATTTACTCAACTTGAGTGTGGTGCTATACGACTCAACTTTCTTTTTTTCTGTGTTCAAATAATTAGTTACCATTATTTACCATGATTATTATTCTATACCAACTCTATCTACCACAGCGACCACTTCCCCGGATGCTTTCCGAATTTCTGGAAGAACGGATTTCAGAATTTAAATGATGGCGGATTGGAGTTCACACCCTCACTTAATCATTTGAAGATACGCCGCCAGTGAACTAAAAAAAAAATCAGTTTTGCTCCTGACTACTATGTCCAGTTAAAATTGGAACGATAAACGGTTGTAGATCTACAGGAAACTGTTAAAGAGCTTAAAATAATAATGGTTCCGCAGAAACTGAACTAATTTTAAATTGGCTCACTACTTGACTAGCCTATTGGTCCCAAGCAAATCTATTAACGTACCCCATTCTAGTCGAAATTATAGTACTACACAATGTTTGTTTTGATTCGCTAGGAAAGTTTGACAGATATAATGAGGGGTTCGTGGATTTTCCTATGTTTCGAGGGGTGCATCGATTAGCTTGGGACCGAAGAGAGTACCAGAGCTGAGCCAAAAATTTGAGCTCGTTTCTTCGGGACCTTCTGGTCTTAGAGTTACCTTTATGGTACCAGAGCTGAGCCAAAAAGTTGAGCACGTTTCTTTGGGACCTTCTAGTCTGAGAGTTACCTCTGCACTGAAACAAAACATCATCCTGGCATCGAATGATTATTGCCTCACTCAAGCCCTATAACTTAATAGTCTGATAATTCAGATGATTTTGAAATGATCGTCATTCGATTTATCATCTGTTGGAATATGAATAAATCAAATGATAATCATCCATATAATGAATGATTTAAGATCGATTTTCAAAAACCAAAGTAGTCATATATCAAACATTAAACCATACACGGTAAGAAAAAATACTCAAAAGTAAGTTCTTTTCACTCATCTCGGCACTATAGTACAGGAACCCAAAAGTAGGTAAAGCGGGTCAAAGTAGTTTGCATTTACTTGTGTGCAATTCGTATGGTACCCAAAAGTAGGTATATGTGATTATACTCAACGTTGGGTTCCTACACTTTACTACCCCTGTTGGGTGGTTTTGCTCCCCCGTTTTTGACAACATTAGAAGGAGAAAAGGAGACAAACTAGTCAAAAGTAGGTAAAAGTGAACTGGCCGTTGGGTTCTTTTTTCTTACCGTGTAGGAAATCGTATTGTTTTCAACTAATTATAAAATGAAATTATATAATGAAATTTCGGATGAAAATCAGGTGGAAAACATTAGATCATGTTTTGCAATTTATTACGATTATATGATTTACTAGTTTTGATTTAAACTGAGCTAGGTCCTTGAAAGACAAATGATGACGGTGATGTAGAGCCAACCGAGGGGCAAAAATGTTGTTATACAACAGATTGATGTTGGCTTCGTAGACCTGGCCATTGCTCTGGCTCTTGGGAAAAGTTTGAAACACTAAAAATGAACACATGAATAATACTCGCGTAACATTTGAAACGGGCCTATATATATATATATATTTTTTTTTATTATAGTCATTTTAACACTCTTGGGTTATTCGTGACTTGTCCGGGGGTGAGATTTGAACTCGTGACTTTGGCGTGAGAGGTATGGATGTTAACCACTACGCCGGGGTCGCCCCCCGACGGGCCTATAAACTTTTGTAAAAAAAAAACTTGTTAAGCCCATTTCGTGCGAACCGAATACACCCACGCAAACTAACAACACAATCGGGTAGGGGAAATTTTCCCCTTCCCAATAGTGCTCTTGATTTGCGTGGGCGTACTTCGGTTCTCGTGAAAAGGACCTAGGAAGTTGTTTTCAAAAGTTGATAGGCCCTCTTCAAAAGTTACGCGAGCATTATCCATGTGTTCATTTTTAGTTAACAGGGCCCCGCTGCACTCAAAAAATTCCACACGTCATCATCATGTGTCTCACACTTAATTTTGCGCTTATTGTGAAACACATCCATTTCATGTGTGAATCTTATGCTACACACTAATCGAGTCAGTACGGTTTTACTGAGTTTTTGAATTGCGGAACTGTTCGGTAAAAGTTTAAAAAACTGTGGAAAATTTATTAATTAGAAAATTTGCTCTGAACTTGTATATGCTTAGTTATGTTAACCCCATTTAATGATAGAAAAAAAATTGGTCGATTTCATTGATTCCTTACGGATAACGGTCATTTGAATTTTTACCGACTTCTTCAGCAATTCAAAAACCCAGTAAAAAAATACTGACTCCTGTAAAAAAAATCTTAATGTGTATGAACCATGCCTGAACACTATGGATTTGAATTGTGATATACTTGGATTCTATGTGCCTCATATGGTGATATCAATAGCTTTGCACATCCTAGTTCAATATTCTACGACTTCTTCTTTACCGACTCTAAACATGAATCGAAAAATATATAAACAAAACTTCCAGAGGCCATAGCTTTCACATATCTTTTTAATGGGTCTGATTTGGGACTCGATCGTGGACTGTTGGGAGGTATGCTGCTGCTGGAGTCTTCGTTCGATCTCACTGTGCCACGGTTGTTCTCATATATGAGGCGGGTTGATAGGATAAAGTCACAACTCTTGTTTTCGATGTTTACCTTTCTGAGCAAGCAATTCGCATCGTATTGAAATGCAAAACACTTTAAATTCATCTGTTTTGAACAGTAGTGTGATTCAATGTGCAATACACTTGAATAGATAGTGAAAGGTTTTCAACATTTCAAATTTTTAAACACTATAAATTAACGTGTACAACACATTGAACCAAGCTGAAATACACTTAAAGTAATTGTGATTGTGCGTTTAAAAAATCAAGTGTTTAAACACTTGACACTTTTTGTCGAGTGAATGAACTCAAATCCATCCGTGCACTCGTCTATAGTTCTTCAGGGCTATTAGGTTCTGCAGCGTGACGTTACGAATGAACTCAGTGTTCATTGGATGAACTTTTAGACAGATCAGTGGCACTTAGGCTGTGAACCATTTGCTGAGTGACATTTCGAAAGTTATTTTCTATGTTCGAAAATCCCCGTGCTGTCGATCGACCGGTTTTCGAGCCACGGTTGTCAAAATTTAACTTCTAGTCTGTCAGAAATAACCATGCTCGTGTATCGATAACTTTCCATCTGTCAAATGTTAACCAAAAGTTAAAAAAATCGCGAAATGGTTCAGAGCCTTAGAATTGTTTTCCAAATAATGTAATTTTGAAATGCGCAGTGAAAGCACAAACGAAGTGACAGACGACTAACTGGCGAAGAAATCAATTAAAATAATAAGGTTCGTTGTAATAGAATTTTGTTAGAAGCTTGTGCCATCAGCCACCAGTTGGTCTAATTTTTGTTTTAATTTGAACAAAGTTGATTTTGTGTGCAATGGTCTTTGACAGCGTGCAAAGAGTGTATCATTTTGTCATTTTTTTATGCATTTCAATTTTGAGTAGAGTGAAAGAGATAGAACCAAAACATTCTAGTACATTTAGTGAAAATGCTAGTACAATCCAGTAGTAGTGTTGCCATGTGGTACACTGAAAAAATGCAATAGCAGGTTCGTCACCAAAATTTTCGAGCGCTCCGTCTGTCACTTCGTTTGTGGTGAAGGGATGTTGGTCGCAGACATTGCAGAAGTGTAATTTACATCTCACTCCAGTCTGAAAAATTATCGAAAAACCTACCGAAGAAACTGAACTGTCATCCGATTGAGGTTCACCCCGGCAGTGCACAACCTAATTGCTTTGACTTCCACATTCATCCACCCATTTCGTTCTCAGGTCTCTACTTCCACGTGCTGGGCGAATGCACTGTGAACGTAACCAAGGTAACCCGCCGAGACAAATCGCACGACAAGGAGAACTACATCGATTTCCGCATGAAGCTGCTGGATGATTTCGACAATAAACCGATCCTCTTGTCACCTGGAGTGCACTGTTTCCCGTTCAAGCTGGGACTGCCGGTATCGCTGCCTTCCACCTTTCTTGGACAGCACGGTTATATTCAGTACTACTGTAAATCCAGTTTGAAGGAATCGTCCGGTATTACCCACAAGAACCAGCAGGTCTTTATCGTGCTCAATCCGATCGATCTGAACCTGGAGGATCCAATGCTGAATGTGAGTGTGACAAGCTTATGCAGACAAGCATAACGAATGACTCTTTTGTGTTGTAGGACCCCCTGGAAGCCAGTGCCAACCATCGGGTTGGAGTGGGTATGCTCGGCGGGACGATCCGGTGTAACGTGGGGCTTGACAAACGGGCCTACATTCCAGGGGAGAAAATTCTACTCACCGGTGAGATATACAATCAGAGTAATGTGACCATCAAAGCGGTGAAATATGCACTGATCGAGGTAAGCTGGCTTTCTTGCGTGCTGCCAAAATGCAAGCTCTATGTATTAACATGCACTAACATGCAGTACGCGGAAACATTGTGTTCTCTTCCAGAAAAATCACGAGCCGTATGGCTGAGAAAATTAGTTGCTTTTGAGCATTATCTTTTGTTTTCAAGATCTTCCGCATATCAAATCAATTTAAGAAAAATCAAATATCAAGATTCGCATATCAAATCAATTTATAAATTCGTATACAGGAGAAATTAATCTAATGTTGGCCTATGGATCTCAGATTGGGCCCATCGCTAAATATCTGCTATTTATCAATTTAATCTAGATCAACGCGTCATTGTCCCGTCCCGGTACTAATGGATATTTTTGTCGCTATTGAAAATTTAGTCGATTGCTAAATTTATGTATGGGCCCAAGTTACATCCATTTTCTCTATATTCGAGCAGTTCAACGCCAAATGACGAATCGGAAAAATTCGACCTTCTCCAAATTTGCATAAAACTTTGCATACTTGCGTGTTATAGGCAATCTTTCACATTTTATCAAAAATTCGGCCATTTTGGATATTGTAAATTTTCACAACATGTCCTCGATGCCATTTTTCAATAAATTGTAGCACGAAAACGTCATTTATGATCTAAATGATGTCTGAGACAAAGCTGTAGATAAAAATAAAGGCTTCCTTTAAAAATAAACAAGATACTTTTTAGTTATTTGGAGTAAACATTAAAATAAAGTATTCAAAACTCAAATATCTCAAAAAGCATATTATTAATCATCGCACCTTGTTTTTCGTAAACTGTTTGCAGATTGGACAGACAACGATTACCGTTCCTTTGTCAATTCGACTCTTTGTCCCTTCGACCTTTTGTTCCTTCGATCTTTTGTCCATTTGTCCTTTTGTCTCTCTATGTTCAATTTGACCTTTTGTCCCTTCGACCTTTTGTGCATTTAACCTTTTGTTCATTCGACCTTAAGTAAGTAATACTTACTTAAGGGTCCTGTGCACCACCAGCGGTGCAAAGAGCCTACGTGAAAGACTTCCTTCCTGGGCGGCTGCTCGCTTTTGCCTTGACCTGGGCCCAGGTCAGATTCCTATCGACTTGCTTAACTTCCTTATTGAGGCTCCGCCGCCATGAGCCCCTGGGTCTGCCTCTGCTGTGATGTCCTGCCGGATTCTAATCCAGCGCTTGCTTGCAGATTTCGTTTCCGCCCCGTCGAAGTGTGTGGCCGACCCACCTCCACTTTCGCTCTCGAATTTCTGTTGCTATCGGTTTCTGATGGCATCGACGATGGAGCTCGGCATTCGAGATCCAGTTGTGAGGCCATCAGGCACGAATTATATACCGCAGACATCGGTTGATGAAGACTTGCAGCTTTTGAGTGTTCTCCGCTGATACACAACACGTCTCGCCGGCGTATAACAACACAGATTTCACGTTCGAGTTGAAAATTCGGATTTTGGTGCGTTGACTTATCTGGTTGGATCACCATACGTTTCGTAAACTCGCAAAGGCAGCCCTAGCCTTCTTGATTCGTCCACCTATGTCGCTCTTGGTCCCGCCGTCCGACGCTATTTGGCTGCCAAGATATTGGAAACTTTCGAACTTCTCCACTGCTTGCCCCGCTACCGTAAAGTTGGAAGGGTTGCCCGTGTTGATATCCAACGATTTGGTCTTGTTGACGTTGATGGTGAGACCCGCCGCAGAGGAGCGTTCGGTTAGGTCATTGAGCTTACTCTGCATATCAGAGCGCCGTTGTGCTAGTAGAGCAACATCATCAGCCAAATCGAAGTCGTTGAGTTGCTCCATGGTGATAGGCTGCCAAAGCAGCCCACGGTTCGGTACACGGTCAATTGCACCTACCATGATCTCGTCGATTACGATGAGAAACAGTAGCGGTGATAGTATACATCCTTGTCTCACACCAGCGACTACCCGGATAGGGTCGCGCTTCGATGAGGTTGACGATTTTATCCGGGACTCCCTTGCATCTCAGGGCGCCCCACAGATTCTCGTGATTGAGACGGTCGAAAGCTTTTTCGTAGTCAATGAATACCAAATAAAGGGACTCTTGGAATTCATTGACCTGCTCCAGGATGATGCGGAGCGTGACAATATGGTCCACACAAGATCTTCCGGCACGGAATCCTGCCTGCTGCCGTCGGAGAGTCGTGTCGATCTTCTCCTGTACTCGATTCAGGATAACTTTGCACAGAACTTTGAGAACAATACACAGTAACATGATGCCTCGCCAATTGTCGCACACAGTCAGATCCCCCTTCTTTGGGACCTTCACTAAGATGCCCTGCATCCAGTCGGCCTACAGTCTAGTACTACACAATGTTTGTTTTGATTCGCTATGAAAGTTTGACAGATAAAAAGAGGGGTTCGTGGATTTTCCTATGTTTCGAGGGGTGCATCGATTAGCTTGGGACCGCAGATAGTACAAGAGCTGAGCCAAAAAGTTGAGCACTTTTCTTCGGGAGCCACTAGTCTTAGAGTTACCTCTATGCTACTACGGTATGAGCTATAGGTTACGTGCATGCAAAGAAATCCAAGGCATTGTATGCACAGGTGAAACGGGAACCTTATTTGTACACAGCTAAAAAAAGTAGTGTAAATTTCCGTCACGATGATGCACATAAATGGAGCGTCATATATCATAAAAGTTTAGATTATAGATCGTGTAAATTTATGAGACATGTAATGCAATATTCCATATATTATATTCAACTGTCCACTTTTGTTTGCAACATTTCTTGCAAGCTGCTAGTTTACGTGAAAAGGAAGTTTACATGTATGAATGTTTGCATGCATGGATGTTTACATCGCTAGTAAAATTCAGAATTTTTTGGTGTGTACGATGGGGAAAACATTATCACGCATACGGTAATATGTTTGGCCTGTACTCGGATTATGTTTCGGCATAATTACTTTATTCAATTTCCTTTCCATCGCTGAAAGCCCGCACCTTTCCCTTAAGACCCCTCATTACATTTTGTGCAATGGTGGAGCCGACCTTTTTGGTCACTTTCGTCCATTCTTTCTTCAACTACAGCTCGTTCTTAAGCACCTTGGACGATTTTCGAACTTTGGCCTTCATTATGGCCCAAAATCTTTCCACCGGACGAAGCTCTGGTGAATTTGGGGGGTTGGCGGTTTTTGGTACAAAAACAACGTTATTGTCTCTATACCAATCCAACGTCGATCGTGCGTAATGGCATGATGCCAGGTCCAGCCAAAATAATGTCTCGCCTCCGTGGGACCGCAGAAAGGGCAGCAGACGCTTCTGGAGGCACTCGGTGCGGTAAATTTTGCTGTTGATGGTACCCATTGTGTTGCACGGTATACTCAGTTTACCGCATTGGCATATGTCCTGCCAGAGCAAGTATTTTTTTTGGCGAATTTGTCCACTTTCTTCTTCCTTATGTCTTCCGGAACATCAAACCGTGATTTGGCAACGTAGAACTCCAGTATCTGCTTTGCGTCTGCCTTGATGTAGGTTTCGTCATCCATAACCGCACACATCGGTTTCGTTAACCACTCTCGATACAGCTTCCTTGCGCGGGATTTGATTTCTGTATGGGGGTACACTTTGTGAAAACCGAAAATGAAATATGTAACAAAATTATGAAAGATTTTTAATGTTAATAACTCAGCTGCTGCTGGACCAATTTCAATAATTTTATAACCAATCGATCAGAAATATTTCGACGCATCAATAGCAATCCTTGCGACTGTTTATTTTCAACAACAAACTATTGAAAAAGTGGTATATGTTAAGCACTGTCCAAAAGCGACGAAATAACTAACAAATCCACCAATTACGTACATGCATATGCTGCTTCCCCAACACTGTCATCAGAGAATCATTCCTAGACGAAACATGTCGATGTAGCATTGCTACTTCCCCAACACTGTCATCACAGAGTCGTTAGTAGACGAAACGAGTCGTGGGCGTGTGCGAATAGGAGGTATGCAATTGCGTAACATTTTGCACACTCATCGCCATATCCAGAACCACACGCCCCCAACGACCACACAAAATGCTCTCCAGAGTTGTAATCTTGTAACCAAACTGCAAGTGCAAGGTGCAAGTGATTTTGATCGATTCTCTTCATCGACTTTCTGTTTCGTTAATAACTCGACGGCAAACACATTCATTGATACGTTTGTTGTTCTGGATGATAGAAGAGCATAGCAGAAATAGTGCGAAATAGGTTAGTGAATCCATGGTGATCAAAAGAGGAAATCGATGAAGAGAATTGCCTTTCACCCCTCAGCTTCTAAGTCCCTTAATTCAGTCGTCGTCATAGCAATGAAAACTAGCATCGCACCGCTTTTTATTCTTGGGTTTAATTCACTTCCTGGTTGAAATTCTGCTGTTCGATATTTTCGAAGGACCACAAAATAAAAACATGAAATTACACTGTTTTCTAGGGATGCATAAAAGTCCAATTATTCGATTAAGGATTAATCGCAAAGATTTTCCAGCTATTCGATTAAATATTTATCGAACTTTCAATTATTCGAGCACGTAACCAACATTCCTTCTTATTTATACTCGTTTGATTTCGCACAACAGAGAAAATAAATAAAAGGACTAATTTATCTGAACAGGCATAGAGAAGAACCATGACGTGAAACAGGATCATAAATTCGCCGAAAAAAGTGTTAAGCGTCTTTCTGCTAAAGGCTAAGATTTATCAACTTGTTGAGAGAAGGAGTTTGACGAGAAAAACTAAAAATAGGAGAAGCTTTAGCTGGGTGGATACTGATATTCTGCCGCCTTCAAACCTGTCGCAGACACCAGTTTAACCCCTGTCCAGCAGCAGACGGGTCGAGACTCTTGAGAGTTCCCAATCATTGAACCGAAGAATATGGGATTGTCCGGCCCAATTTTCTGATCCAGCTGCCTACACGTCATCATCATCTTCCAAAGGCTTGAAGCCTGTACTAACATCGGTTATTTCCAGGGCCACCAAGATTTTCCAAAAGAGTTAA